AATAATATATAATTATTCCCCCACACCTTCCTTGTACTATGAAAGGAAGGCCTGGCCTACCTTTAACAAAATTATGCTCATTAAGTATTTCTGGAATAAATGACTGAATATATCTGACTTCTGATCATTGTTACTGCTGCTCAGGTTTCCTTGGATATCTGAAGAAATTAAATTTCAGCATAGGTACATTCACTATTTCACATAGCGTATCACCACTTAAGCTGCATACTCTAGAATACTATTCCAGGAGATTGAATTCATGGGCATGTTGCAAAATTTTATTAAATTAAAATGAAAGGCTTTTATAGTGGAGTAAGTTGGAAAGCAATGTTATTCTCTGGGCCCCTCCTCTCTTTACAATAAATATATACATATTTATGGAAGATCCAAAAAATTTCACAGTAAATAAATATGTCTCACACAGAAGTCTCCAAATTTATTTCCTCCAATATTCTCATTTGCATACCTATTTCCTATATTTCCAATCAAGAAACATTTATAACACAAATAGTTTTAGGATAATATCACATATCCAATCAAGAACTATGTAGAAGTGTGTAATTAATCCTAGTCAAGATATGGTCAGGAAGACTAGTTTCAGCTTAAAAGGGAAGAAGATATGGAAATCACTTGAATCTTGATTTGCATTAACACAGGCATGTATGGCATGAAAGTAATGTTACATGGATGTTCTACTGCAAGTTTTAAAACTTAGGCTTCAGCCGGGTGTGGTGATGCATTCCTATAATCTCAGCACTCTGGGAGGCTGAAGCAGGACTGCCAAGTTTGAGTCCAGCCTTGCAATGTAAGCGACTTAGTGGCTGATCCAGTCAGACACATGGTTTGAGTATAAAATACATATTGGATTTAGAAGACTTGGCATAAAAATCCTCGTTGTAATTATATTTTTATTATATGATGAAATAATATTCTGGATAGACAATATTAAAAATAATTTTACCTATTTCCCTTTTACATTATATTTCTGTGAACGATATGAGGCTAAGAGCTTGGACACGATACATTTACAAACTACACCCAAACCAATGTAACTCAGATAGGGATCTAGAGGAGGACAGTAGGAGATGCCAGGTGAGCATTCTTGGGTGCTTAACTTTCTTGTATTAGAAGAGAATCACTAAAGAATTTTAAGCAAGAAAAGTGACTTGAAAGGATTTTTTTAAAAAGATTATTAGAAACACAGAAGTTTTGATGAAAGCAAACCACGCTGATAAGAGGCACCAAAGTGGAGGCACAATAAGATAAAAGACTTTATACGATTAAAAGTAAGCCGGTGTGATGGGGAACGCCTGTGAGCCCCACATGCTTTGAGACTGACGGGAGAATCCCAAGTGTAAGCCCCACTTGGGGAATCTAATGACTTACGAGGCCCGGTCTCAAAGTAACAAATAAGAAAGGCCAGCCAGGGATGAAGTTCAGTGCAAAGGCTCTGGGTTCAGTCTGCAGTGCTGCAAAAACAGACACAACACAAACCACTAGACCGAGCATCACAAGTTTGAGTCCAGCCTGGGCAACTTAGTGTGCTTCTCTTTTGAAAAAAAAAAAAAAAAATTTTTTTTTTTTTTTGAAGGGGTAAGTTTAGTGCAAAGGATCTGGATGTAATTACTGGGGGAAAAATCTAAGTAACTAGAATTACAAAGGAACTTCTAGGTCTGGACAGAGTGATATACACATAAAAGTGTCAGTGCTAAAAATAGATTTCAAGATGTAAAAAGCAGTGTGCAGTATGTTTATTCAGAATCTACATTTCTCAAAAAACTTAAAGGAAATAGCTACATTTAATCTTAGGTAACCCGGGGTGTACACACCAGCAAATCAGGGCACTATGCCCGAAGCATGGGAAACTACAGAGGAAATATGGAGCACCCCTCATCATTTTCCAAGAGATAAAAGTTGGGGGTTTATTGACTGACCCAATTAATATGTATTAGCCAGGTGTGGTGGCATACGCCTATACTCCTAGCACTTGGGAGGCGGAGGCAGAGGCAGAGGCAGAAGTATTGCCTCGAGTTCCAGGCTAGCCTGGAATACATAACGAATTCAGGACCAGCCCAAGTACAAAGTGAGACCCTGTCTAAAAGAAAAAAAATGTATTGGGCTGGGGATTTGGCTCAGGGGTTCCACCAACTGCCTCGAAAGCACAAGTGCCCAAGTCTGATCCCCAGTACAAAAAAAAAAGTATTGAGTTTTTCAATTCTAAGACATGTTTCTTTCCGTTTTACTATTTTCAAAAGTACAAAGATGCTCTGAATATATTTTCACAGTTACTGTTCATTAAAAGTAAATGTAGACAGACTTTTTTAGAAAAGAGAAAAATCAATATAAAAATGCTTCTCAACTTTTAACAAAAACAACAACAAAAAAACCAGAATGGCTGGAGTAAGCTAAAGGGGATCAGCAGGAGATAATGAGAGAGGAAGAGCTCACACTGCCTCACAGGTCCTGGAGAAGCTTTGATTGTGGAGAAACTGTTAAGGAGAGGGATCAGTTCTGTCAAATACTGTGTGGATGGGTAATGGTTAGAGCCAAGAAATGATCTTAGATTTAGCTGTGCATTTATCCTCCAGTGACCAGTCACTGAAGAAATACCCCAAAAAAGGAAAATAAAACCCAAAGTGGTAATGCCTCTTCCACCAAAATGTCATCCTGATCAAAGAAACTCTAACAGACAAGAAATGAATTCCTAACTAAAAATTTCTTGAGGAAAACTAATCCTCTAAATGAAGTCCAAAAAACAACTAAGAATTTATATCTGCAAAAGCTATCAAACAATGAGGAAAAAGAACAGTATCCATAATATGTAAACAAGTTCTGAGATAAAGGTACGTAGTTATAAACAAGCATCATTAAAAAAACAAAAAACAGAAACAAATGTTCAAAGATTATTGGCAGACACAGAAGTCAAAGAGGTGAAGAAACTAGAGAAAACGAAGGAACTGCAGTTTTCAAAAGCTAACAAAATTCTCACAACTGAAGATAAATAAGAATCTTCTTCAGCTTGAGAAAACCCTTCAAATATCAAAAAGGGGGCTGGGGATTTAGCTCAGTGGTTCTGCTGCCTGCCTTGCAAGGGCAAGGTCCCAAGTTTGATCCCCGGTACAAAAAAAAAAGGTAAGGAACCACAAACATCAAAAAGCGAAACAACGTATTGGATAACACATGGTAGTACTTCATGGCACCATAGATAGAAAAAAAAAATACAAATTCTAAAACTTTTAGCAAGCTCAGACTGCATATCAGAATGTTGATGTGCATCAATTTTTCAAGGGGCGAAAGGGAAAAGACTTTGAACTTATACTAAGCTAAACAATTACTTTAAGAGAAAAATTTTGAAAATAAGCTATTTTGAACACTCAAGGCTCACTCAAGAACAGTTAAGATTCACATCACCCCATGAACATTAGTTTAGCAAGAAAATAAATAAGTTTGGAAGAATGAAACACAAATAGTAGCATGTGCAATATACATGAATCATTAAATAAAAATTAAAACAGTAAAATGTATTAAACTCAAAGAAAAGTATGAAAAATGAGTAAGTTTAATCACAACCGAAAGTTAAAATACCATTAAGAGTAACATGAGAGATGGGGGAGATGAGAACGAGGCACACACTCATAAATATCTAATTTACACAGCAATTACAAAATTGTGACAAATTTTCTGCCATGTAATAAAGTTTAGAATCTGGACTTCATAATCCTGTTTTGATTCTTTCAAATTGTTAAATCTTGGATCAGAAGGTTTTTTAGATAATCTTAAAAACCCTGTTTCTCATTTTAATTTTCTTTGAAGGTTTATCTGTTCTCACCCATTCCTCATTCACACATACTCTTAAACCTTAGCAGTACCGCTATCAAGCTATCAACAATGCTCGGGCCCCACAGGTGGCATCTGTACTGAGCCTTTTTTTTTCTACATGCGGATAACAGCAAAAATAAACTGTGTACCTAGATTCTTTCCATCTCTTTACATTATAATTAGCTGTTTGCCAAATGAACAGTGAATTTAAATGACCTTCGAAAAGAACCCTTAGAAGCATGCAATGAGCCAGCTAAGTAACAGTATACCACGATGCTGTCATAGGATTTCCTTAGTCACCATCAAACCTTTAAACAAAGACATGATTTCAGAGATTCCTAAGTGCCTCTACTGTGCCTGTTTCTATTCAAGAGAACTATAAAGAAATGTTAATAAACTTATGTTACAACTCAAGTATTTTCTAAAATAATTTTTATAAAACTAAAAAATTAGTTTTTTTGAAATTCAGACAAAATAGAACGATAACTTGAGTAGCATCAAATTGTAGCTGTTATAGCTAATATGAGCAATTCAACTTATTAAACTACAGTGTATATTTTCTAACAACCTAGTGTGCTCTGTGCATAACATTTTGTTATTTTAAGATTAAAATGTTTGTTTTAAAATGGTAAGTGGTTTATGTGTTACTACTTTGGATTTAGGAATATTACTTAAATATTTTTACAGAAGTGCTTTTTATTCAGTATTTTCTTCATATTATTTTACTGCTTAAGAATCCTTATCTAGTCTTCATAAAATAGCACAAATCATAACATCTGACAGCACCACAGTAGGGAAAAATGTATAAGCTGGTGATTAATATATCTAAATACACTATTATATGAAACAAAATATTTAAGTTAAAAAAATCAGATAAGCACAAAAATAGCCAAAACCAAGAAACAATTCAGTCTAAAGAGACTATGCCACAAATGCAATACATTTTAAGTACAAATATTAAATAGGCTCTTTTCACATCACCTCAGAAGTTACATTATAATGTTGTAGAATTTATTTTGTGAATTTAAAACAAAATGGCAATGAGATCAAGCTTTTCAGACTGCTCTGTAGTTCTGATTGTAGTTTAGAAAATATAATGATCAGTGAAGGTCATTTATAATTCAAAATCTAAATTTAATAATGGGAGAAAATTAATCTCAAAGAGAATAATAATTACTTACTTTGGAGGCCCATGGCTGAAGACAATTGGCATAACAGCGAACAAGGAAAGCCATTTCCTAGGCTGCAAAGGGTAGTTTCTTTTTGAAACCAGAGCCACAAGGATGAGTATGTTGACAAGATGCTGTTAAGTTTCTTTTTACAAATCATACATCACTGCAGTGTTATATGCAGGCAGCTTTTCCAAAACACTTTATAAACTGAAATCAGGAGGTTCCAGGAGCTTAACAGTATTGTTCTAAATAATTAACAGTGCTCTTTAAAATGTTCACTTTAACAAGCAAATCACAGTAAATAAAGGCGTTTAGATTTCTGGCTCAGAATGTACAGACATTTACATGCATCCTCAGGCACCTGGCACGGACATGCAGGGGTAGCACAACGGTTAATACTGTCTCAATCAAAGCAAATAAGGCAACATGCACCAAATCTGTGTTCCTGGATTCTGTGAAATCTTTCTTCTCAGTAATAATAGCTTTGTTTATTCTCCAACTTATTTCATTCCATAGGAAAAGCACTGCAGTGATTCTTCTCTTTCAGAAGCAAACCAGAATACTGTATCCTGAAGAATAAAGTTTTTTCTTTATATTCTTAATCACCGGAGGATAAAAAAATGAACCCATAAGCAAGTAGTAGTTAGAAAATATCTGCACTAACAGGTTTGTCTTGTAGAATGCCCAAAAATCTCTAAAATCCAAATTATTTTCTCTTTTTGCATGCAGTATTTACAGCTCTGCAGTAGTGCTTCTTGTTCCAATCCATCAGTAAGACAACACTGTTGATCTAAGCCTGGCTTTTCTGGTTAAAATTTTAAATATGGTATGATATAAAACACGCCTTTGCTAAAGCAAGATTACGTGTCAGTGCCTTAATTCCTAGTGTTCCTCCCTGTTTCACAGCAGCTCCCCAAGGAGAAGCTCCTATTGATTCTATGCTCTGCAGTAAGATGAAATATCTAATAAGAAGGAAAGAGAGTGGGAGGAGAATTGAGCTAAAAGGATGACATCACCTGTACAGAAAGCCTTCAGAAACTGCATTAGATCAATTGGCTACTGTATCTGCAGATGTAGCCCAAAGAGCCATTTATTGAAAACACACACACACACACACACACACACACACACACACACACACACACCCTTCCATAAGACATGTTAGCAAGCTAAATTCTATAATGGGGAGAAAAAAAATCTGGCTTACAGCACCCCTTCCATTTCAGTTTTTAAAAATCTATTTTTGATCTTTAATTCTGCACACTGATATATACCTCTATTTGAGAAGCCATATTTCCTAGTATTATTCAAATTTAACACAACAATGTCCTCTCAAGGGAAAATAATTAGATCTAGTAAGATAACTACTGCATTTCAAATACTTAAGGGAGTCCAGTTCACAGATGTCATGTACGTATTTGTAATCCTACGAATTCAGGGGTTTCTGTTTGCAAAACCTGGCATTTATCAAATAACTATTCTGAAAGGTGTATATCTGAGTTTACTTTAATATCAAAAACATAAAAACTGGAACTAAGATTTATAAGTAAACAAATTCAAATAAAAATAAGATTTTATTTTACAAGGAAAAGATGAAAAAAATCACAAGCAGAACAGTTGCAGCACCACAGCTCTTTGACAAAGAATAATCTATACAAAATGGTACTTTCCTGCAGCCTGATGCTGAATTCCTAGAAAGAGAAAGCCAGCAAAACTCAAAGGAATCTGCTTTCAATGTGAGCACGCAGTAGAAGGAAAGGGGTCCATTTTACTTTATAAGTTACAGAAAAAATTTAATTGTTGCCACACCCACTCCCATCTAAAAAACACAATATCCACCCTTGTTCTTCATGTTTCTGCCACAAGGCAACTACTGCAGACACCTCCACCTAAGCACATATGCATGAAGCAGCGCCACCCAATGGCCAAAGACAGGTACAGTTTCCAACAGTAAAATACAGCTAACAAATTCAGGCAGCAAAATTGTGAGAATAGCAATAACAGAACTATTTTTACTTATTCACCCGATACTTTTATTTTGGAGAGAGATGGATGTGTAACATAAAAGGAGCCACTACCTGAGAGACAAGTGTTTGACCACAGGAATCACTCTGTTGACTACAGAAGTAGTACTTTGTCACTGGCCACACAGTTTCTCAGTATCCATGGGCAAAGTCTAAGTCACTTTCTGGACAACAATATGCTACCAGTATGAATTATGTTACTTATAGGAAAAGAATTTAAGTAAAATTGAATATTACTGTGAAAGAAGACTGCCAAAGCCAGGGATTTGGCTCAGTAGTTCCGTTGCCTGAATCGCAAAGGCCCAAGTTCAATCTCTGGTACCAAGGGAAAAAAAAAAAAAAAAACACTGCCAAAATGTGACTAATGGAATTAGGTTTCCAGAAAACCTAACGAGTATGTTTTCTGCAAAATTTTGAAAGATACACACAATTTAATTTAAATATAAAACTGAATCTCATAAATGTAAAGATGACTTATTTTAAAGATGTAAAATATGTAATATTTGTATAGCTTGATCTTCAAGCACTAAACATTTTATTTCAATTTAATTGAAGTAAACTATGTTACAACTCAAAATATTTTGAAGTATAAATCAAAATATATTAATCATTTTAAAAACAGGAAATGATGAGATTTTGCAAGACAAACTTTTCTTAAAAATAAATTTCTAAAAGACAAAACATTTTCTACATAAAAATTAGTAAAAATACTTAAGCATATTTCAATTTCAATGCCAGGTGATAAATTCATGTACACAGTATCAGTAGAATAAATTACAGCCAAAATAAAAAAGAAAATCCTTATGGGCATCCCATCCCCTTTCTATAAATCATGCTGCTATCACACAAAGAAGGACCTCAAGCTGAGCAAAGGAGACAGCAGCAACCTCCTAGCTGCTTTAAAAAACTGCTGCCCGGTGTGTGAAATGCAATCCACTTGTGCCATATGTTAGACCTACCGTAGTAAACACCAACTCAGTAAGGGAACAAAACTCTCTTTTCCTTTAGTTTGGCTTGTAAGCGAAGATGACATCATCTTTTTCATTGTTCTATCAATCACATCACAGTATTTGCTATACTAGAAAACTATATGGTCAATTTATCATGGAAAATCTCCTATGTAAAAGTATCATGAGAAGGAACAGGCCAAATTCTACATTCAGCATATGCATTCACCAGCATTCTGGTAACACTACAATACACTGTTTTTCAAAAATAATTATTTAACCTTTTAATTTATTACTAAAGGAAAAATGAACATATTTTAAAGGTAGCAGCTTATAACGAAATACATGATTAGGTGAGTAAACTGTTTTTTATTTGCAACATATTTAATTTTTTTTCATCTTATATTACCAATTCAAATGAAGTGATTGCAACCAGGGAGACTGTCCTGATCTACACTGTCTAAAATCATCACCACAGGATGCTACTGAACGTATCTCCTCTCCATGTGAAATGCCATGATGCAAGCCATATTGACAAAATATTCTTTAGGCTTTAAAAGAGCTTTCTGTACTATTATAAAACATAGTAGTGTATGCTGATTTTACAAAGCTTCAAATCACTACAAAATATTTTATTACAACTATGTTAACTGTATAAACTATTTATAAACAAAAATATAAACTGGAATATTTGAAATTGTATTACATAAAAAAAAGTACGTTTTATTTCAGTAAATAACAGTGAAAAGAAGGGGAATTAAAGGTCACCATTACAAATAAAGGTAAACTATCAGAAAATATATATTATAGACATTATCAAAAACAAAAACCAATAACAGAAACCAAATTTATACTAATTTTAAGCATAGTCACGCAATCTATTTCCCCATCTGCACAGTGAAACTTTATAATCACAATAGAGAAGCCAAATTAAAAATGTAAGGAACAAAAAAAAATCTGCACTTTAAAATAAACAAGCCATTCATTTCTGTATTTTATTTATACTTTAGTTCTGAAATATACATTGTTAAGTGTATTAATTTAGTAGCAAAATATTTTAATTCTTTTAAAAATTAAATGAAGTGATGTTTATTGCACTGGTTAAAGGTAATATAGAATTCCTTCTAAAGCAACACAGAAAATGTTTCTACCACCCCTCTCCCACCCATGCTGAACCTGAACATCTGAAATGAATTTCTATACTTATCAGACATAGTTAACTCTAATTACTAGGGCCCCCTCAGGAATTCCTGCTTTAAAACTACCTATTCCATATCCCTATTCCTAGTCTTTCCGAAGGAGGGGAAGCTGCAGTACAAACACTCTCTTACTTTATTGTTAAGAAACAGTTGGCTTCAGCATACTGTCATCTGTATCCACTCTTGTGCTGTCCCCCCCCCAAAAAACAAATCTTCTGTTCAAAGCCACCAGTGGGACACATGCACCATGAAATATGACCCAACCTTAGGGAGTAATCAAAGAAAAAAAAAAAAAAAAAAAA